AGAGGTGTAAATCTTTATGACCGTTGATTAGGCAATGGTTTGTTAGCCATGACTCCAAAGTACAAGCAACCAAAGAAAAAATAAACTGGACTTCATCAAAATTAAAAACTTCTGGGGCTTCCCTGGTGGCGCAGTGGTTGAGCGTCCACCTGCCGATGCAGGGGACACAGGTTCGTGCCCCGGTCCGGGAAGATCCCACATGCTGCGGAGTGGCTGGGCCCGTTAGCCATGGCCACTGAGCCTGCACATCCGGAGCCTGTGCTGCGCCACGGGAGAGGCCACAACAGTGAGAGACTCGCGTACCACAAAAAAAAAAAAAAAAAAATTAAAAACTTCTGTGCTCCAAAGGATACTACCGAAGAAACACCTCAAATAATGGGAGAAAATACTTACAAATTATATATTTGGCAAGAATCTAGTATTTAGGATACATAAAGAACGCTTACAGGGCTTTCCTGGTGGCGCAGTGGTTGAGAGTCTGCCTGCCGATGCGGGGGACACGGGTTTGTGCCCCGGTCCGGGAGGTGCAGGGGACACGGGTTCGTGCCCCGGTCGGAGAAGATCCCACATGCTGCGGAGCGGCTGAGCCTGTGAGCCATGGCCGCTGAGCCTGTGCTCCGCAACGGGAGAGGCCACGGCAGGGGGAGGCCCCCGTACCACAAAAAAAAAAAAAAAAAAAGAACGCTTACAACTCAGCAAAAACAGACAGGTAACCCAATTAAAAAATGTGCAAAGGATATATTCTTTGGAATATATATGTCATATATATTGGGATACACATATATATACATACATATGTGTGTGTGTGTGTGTGTATATATATATATATATATATATATGGTCAATAAGCACATGAGAAGATTCTCAGCACCTCTAGCCATCAGGCAAAAGCAAATCATAATGAGATACCACTTCACACTCACTAGGATGGCTATAATAAAAGAGAGAAAATAAATGCTGGAGAGGATATGGAGAAATTGGAACCCTCATACGTTGCATGTTAAGTGGTAAAGCTGCTTGGAAAAACTTTGTCATTCCTCAAAAAGTTAAACTTAAGAGTTGCCATATGACCCAGCAATTCCACTCATAGGTAAGGTATACGCTCAAAAGAACTGAAAACACATTCCATGCAAAAACATCTACACTGAATGGTCAACTGCAGCATTATTCATAATAACCAAGGAGGGGAAACAACCAAAACATTAACTGAAGAATGAATAAATGAAATACGGTATACTCATACAATGGAACATTAATCATTCATAAAAAGGAATGAAAGACTGACTCATGCTATAACATGGATGAACCTTGAAAACATTATGCTACGTGATAGAAGCCAGACACAAAAGGTCACATATTGTGTGACTGCATTTATGTGAAATGTCAAGAACAGGCAAATCCATGGAGACAGAAAGGAGGTTAGTGATTGCCAGTACTTGTAGAGAAAAGGCAATGGGGAGTGATTGCTAATGGGTATGGAGTTGCTTTTTGGGGTGATGAAAATGTACAACAATGAAAATTAAGACAGTGATAATGGCTGAACAACTTGGTGAGTATACTACAAAAGACTGAGTTGTACTTGAATTAAAAACCATTGAATTTGTATTTGAAAGAGTAAATTTTATAATACGTGAATTATATCTCAACTAAAAAAGAATCAGTGATTTCAGCGTTTTCAACAGCAACACTGCATGCAAGGTGACAATGGAATACACTTAAAAAAAAAAATGAATCCATCAGCACTGACTTTATTTATTTAATAGGCTATGCTGCGTGGCATGCAGAATCTTAGTTCCCTGACCAGGGATTGAACCTGTGCCCCCTTGAGTGGAAGCGTGGAGTCTTAACCACTGGACAGCCAGGGAAGTCACTGGAATATACTTTTACAGTAACTAGGACCTAGATTCTATTTTTAGCTAAAATAGTTAAATATGAGGGCCTGACACAAATACCCTTAGGCACAGAAGACCTCAGAAGGTTTGCAACATAAAGGCTTGCACTGAAAGGAATTTGGGATGAAATACTTGTAATACAGATACTTAAATAAAATAGGAAGGATTAAAAGACACAGAAAAGTATGGTAAACTGAAATTATAAATTATGATGCTAGCAACAGGCCTAAATACATCAATAGTTACGTTAAATTTAAAGTCATTACTTTGAAGTCAAATATTAACAGATTTGGGCAAAAACCCAAATTCTAGATATATGCTAGTTAAAAGAAATACACCTAAAGCATGAGCACACAAGGGTGAAAACAGAAGGGTTGAAAATAATACATTGGGTAATTGATAGTCAAAAGAAAGCTGACTTAGCTTTATAATATCAGATAAAATAAACTTTAAGACCAAAAACATTATTAGGAATGGAAAGTATTACTCCATATGAAAAAAGACTCAATTCTTGAGAAACTGCACAGCCGCATGCAAAAGAATGAAACTGGACCACTATTTTACACCATACACAAAAAATTAACTCAAAATGGACTGAAGATATGAAT